GCGGGCAAATGTTTCAAGAGTTATTGGAGCACATGCATTTCTAATTCTGGTTTTTAAATCTTCACAATTATGAATAGGACTTTGGTAAACTTGTTCTTTTACAACATCCCAGAGGAAGAAATCTAAAGGTGTTAGTCGGGACTACGAGGGGGCCATGCAGTCACACTGCCTCTGTCAATCCACTTATTTGCAAACGTCTCATCAAGATAGTCCCTAACGACTCTGTGATAATGAGGTGGTGCCCCGTCCTGTTGAATGCACAGCTCTTGTCGGAGATTAAGAGAAACATTTTCTAATAACACCGGAAAATCTTTCAGCCCCAATCACGAGTATGAAAACAGACACTTATCTGTCGGTAATGATTAAGAATGGGGTCGCTCAATGGGGGGTCAACAACGATAATTGGTTGAGTTACACAACCCTAAACGGTACGAAAAACGATAGGTAACGGTAATCGACACTAAAATTTCAGGACTACTCCTGATCCTCACAACACAACTTGACTCCCCGGATCACCACGACCGAATCCCCTTAAAAATGGAAGACTTCCTCCTCCATCCCCTCTTAAGGAAAACCTTTAATTAGCGTCGTACGCGTGTATTGACATATTTGACATGAAGATGGCGGATTGTTTACATCCGGAAGTTGTACGGTTATTTTAGGTTCGCGTAGGCTTATAATTATCGTACTTGATGAGATGTTGTTAGTACAAGTCGCAAAAGAATTAGAGTGAAGAGAAAGTGATAGTAAAGTAAGAATGGAAACATAGAAGAAGGGTTGCACTGTTTGGGGTGTCGACAAAGAGTGGAAAGGAAGGGAAGACCTTCCCCAAAACAGTACAACGGTACTTTGGGAAATAGAGGAGAGAAGACGAGAGGAAAGTTAAAAGTGTAAAGAACGAGATTTGAGTGGTATGGCACCCAGGAGTGCAGAGTGACACCCCCTGTGGCTTATAGCAGCCATCCGCTGACATGGGAGGGGTAACAGGCGTGGTTCCAACCACCCCATATTGGCTGGCGCCAAAAAAACAAAAATCAAAACGTAAAGAAAATTACCATTAAAACCTGAAAATCCAGAGAAAAACGAACATATGCAACCAATTATACTTAATTTGACTACCTCAACACTACTATATATTCTTTTAGGCCATTTACTCTTTAGTTGTCTTTTATGGTGTTCAAGACCGATGTTAAGCACCCAAGCATTTGTGTGGCCCTTTAAAATACGCCCCACACACCGGCAAGTAAAAGTAGCGTGCTACAAAACCTCCACTAAAAATTCCGCTTACACAAATTAAAAACGAATCCTACAATGTTAATTAAATCATGTTTTGTTTGTCCACAGGGTTCTCGTCGGTTATTCCGGGTTTGCCTCGACACTCAATGGTCGTTGACCGTCCTCACGGCATATACAACTTGAGGGTGAGCAATGCTTCCCTAGAGGACGACGCCGAATATGAGTGTCAAGTGGGACCGGCAAAGCCTCATAAGGCAATTCGAGCAAAAGCCAGGCTCAACGTCATGTGTAAGTACCTGAGTGTTTGATTAAGGTTATTTCACACGTTCTCGAACGCAGTCCTGTTTTTTATTTAGTAAGCAGCCATGCAGCGGCTAGGGGTAAACTCCTTTTGCGTAGTGACAACACTGACGGCATTTTATGTACAAATGTAACATCTTGGTAAGAAATATTGTTAATATACACATAGTTACCATCGGGGACACGGAAAACTGGGCAAAGGTGTCACACAATTGGCAAAATATCTAAACCAGGCCTTAGCTATTCATAACCACGCTTTTAATGTTTGGCGTATTTCTCATTTTGACACTGACAAAGTCGAAGTTTTATTAAATTTGTTTCAATTATATTTATTAACATGCAGCTACTGCTCGAGATTTGTTAAAAATTGATACAGCTGGCATGTCAAACCAATTGATATATTTCAGTGCTAATTTGACAATTTTTTCGAAAATATCAATCATATTGACGCGAAAGGTGCATTTACATTGACATTTTTTTTAAACGACAAGAACAGACTGTCCAGAATTCCATCTCCCTCATAGTACACTAAGGCATGATGGCCGTCCTTGTTGCAACCTATATGTTGGAAAAAGATGGTAGTAAATCATTGGTTGGTGTGTGCGTTTTCTTCTCTTTTCATAAAAATAATGTGTAAATTCAGGGACATATACTCTCGTGTGGAGCGAAAATCGCATGATCAGATGTTTCACGCAGTTTCAAAATTTATACGAGGGATGTCCTGGAAATATCTACGTTTCTGTAGAGTCACTTGCGACGCTGCCACAACCTGAGTTTATTAGTCAAGAGGCTTTCTATACTTGTGTAAATCGTTATCCAGATTTTTTTCTTTTCTCACTGTTGAGTTTTACAGCGTAATTTCTTCCAACAAGGATGATATTTTAAATTTGTTCTTGATTTTGGCTTTGAGATAAAAGTTGATTGAGAGAACAACATTTGTAATAATAGAGCAAAACTGATGTAGACTTAATGCTTTTTTAAAATTAAAAATTGTGTTACAGTATTGCGGTTGTCGTTACATGTCTTCAGAGGTGCAAATGTAACGAATTACTTTCGCCAGTGACGCATATTTTTTATTCAACATCAACCTTTCCCTACTGATATAATAATTTATAGATAGCAACAAATAAAAAAAGTCTAAATAATAATAAATTAATGAAAAAAGCAAATGTCCTTTCAGTGGCGTTCTCTTTTGCTTTTGTTAAATCAAAGCCTCTCTTTACATCTTGGCTTAAATTTTAGAGGTGAGGGGACAAGAAAAATCAGTTTGACTCACTCATTACAATTGTCTAACAAAATCAGGTTGCCTTAGTTTCACTGAGGACCCCTCACATATAAAATTAACCAATTAGAGGTGGTAAAAGTAACATCACCTACTAAAAGAAACTAATATTTAATTACATATGTGTTGTAAAAGGGTGCAATAATGGAAGTTTCTCAAAATTACTTTCTTGACTTTCTTGAAAACACACAGTGACTATATGTAAATTTTAAAACTCTGACAACAGTAAATCGGTTACATCATACTATTTTCTCCATCATTTTGGCACCCTATTTGCATACAACATGGAGGTCTGGTGGCGTCTTCTTTTGAAATCATTATAACAGAAACTTGAGCAAGCATTTTAGTGAACAATAAACAAACTTGTTAAATTTAAAGGGGTTAAATTGCAAATTTCCATAGTAACGAGTTAAATTCCTAAATCTGATTGGCTCTTTATTTCTAACAACTTTTAAATTTTAACACATTTTGATACAGATTTGGGTCTGTTGTAGGTTAGACCACATTATTATAAAACTTTAAAAAGTCACAATAGTGACTGAAATTTGCGAGTTTGTTTTCTAAAAAAAGCTCGTATTGAAGTAAGTAGAAAGTCACATAATACCCACCGGCGCCGGGTGGGTATTATGTGTATTTAAACTTACACATACACATCTAAAATGTGCAGAATCTCAAAACAACGTTACCATTTTATAGATAATAAATAAATAAAAATCAAGTTAAAAATACAGTTATAATGTAAGTGTTTTTTCACTTCTTTTATATCTACAATCAACAATTTCGAAGAGATCGTGTAAAATCCTGTTAGTGTGTGTTAAAAATTGAAACCATTTGCCATATTGCAAAATAATGGTTTAATTGATTAACCAAACCAAAATGGAATATTCTAACTCACTTAAAACAAATAATTAGAATAGTTGTTGTTTCATCATATTAATATCATTAAAATTACGACTTACACGCATTGCAAAACCTAAGACCTAGATGCAGAAAAACTTACACTATTAAGATGGTCCCGAAAAGTTAAACTAGGGGCGAAGATCACTCCAAGATCCTTTATTACATCCATTTTGCTAATTAAATCAATTAAATAATGAGTGTCCATTAAATATAAAGCTTTAGTTAAGGTAACAAAGCAGCATTTACCATAATTAAGAATTAATTTAAGTATATTTGGCACACCATCTTGCAACTAAATCTAAATTATTTTGTAATAGTAGGATATCATCAATGGATCTGATCGATAAATATAATTTGATGTCAGCAGCATACGCCAGAACAGGACAGGAGAAAGAAGAAATAAGATCATAATATAAATAATAACGGACCAAAGTGGGACCCTTGACGTACACCTGAATCAGCTACAAACTCTCTTGATGCAAACCCATTAATAATAATAATAATAATAATAGTAAAGTACCTTACGATATTTAGAAATTGCAGCTATTTTTCCATAACGATGTAATTTGGTAAAAACTGGTCTGATCGATGTCACTTATACTCGTAACTGCGTTGACTTGCGTCTTTGTATGCTGTCATGGTCCATGATAAACAAATTTTTAGATTTGAATTGTAACAGGGTTGCTTCTCACAGAAAGACCCGAATACGCCTCAACGATATACTGGCCAATTACTTTTATATTCGTACGGATAAACCGCAAATAAAACAGACGTAGAGATCTTGTATATAGCTATTTTGTCATATCGAGTAGTCTTAATGAAATTGATGTTGGATTTCTAAAGCGGGAGGGTTGAGTTTATCGAAATGTCAACAATTTATTTTATCAGATTTCCTTCTATAAAAAAAATTACATTTCACTCTTTTCAGCGCCGCCCTCATCCGTTGAAATTTTAAACTACCGGCATTTTTCAAAGATAGAAATAAAAGAAAATGAAGAGTTCCATCTCGAATGCAGAGTGCGAAACGCAAAACCAGCAGCAAAAATTGTCTGGTACAGAGGAATCGTAGAATTAAACATACGTAAGCAGTTTAAATATTTGCTCGACTTAGGATGACAAACTTTTTCATTGCAGCCAATCGCGATGATCAAATAATTGAAGTTCCCGGGAACAACGGGGACAAAAGATTTACCAGATACGACACACATTCTCGCATATCGTTGAAGGCAACAGCTCAAGATGATCATGCCGAATACACGTGCGAAGCGATGCACGAAGCATTATCTTCCGACATACCTATGAAAACATCGGTGCAGTTTAGTGTATTTTGTAAGTAACTTCACTCTTTATCGTTTAACACACTCTGACTCCGAATGTGCTCAGATCCGCCTGGTTTGTCATATATTGAGGGGTATACGAAAGTACCTCCGTCTAATTCGTCACCCAGCTTAGATGAGGAAAACTTAAAAAATTTCTCCGATTTCCTTATAACAGTGGGCACTGTTGTGGGCACCTTAATAATATTAATGAACGTCTTGCTCATCAGTTGTTTCTTACACAGAATATCCAAGAAACGGATTTCAGGTAATTAATACGTTTTATTTCCTTTTGCCCAATGTACAACGACCATATCGAGAAGATTTACCCCACCAGATTTGTTGGATAAACAAGATTTACCGAGAGTTTCTGTCATTGGTATTTTCTTTTTAATTACCAACATCGAATTAGTTGCCGGTTGCATGCTTAAACGAAGACTTAAAATAATCCGACATTCGTTTTCACATTTGATAGTTTATTTGTTCGCCTATTTTATTGATCGCAGTAGTTTATATACTCGTTTCATATTTTTTTCAGAACAAAGTAATCAAACTCGTACATGGGCTACCATCGAAATGTGTGCTCCGAATAGCCACAACGATACCGTCACAGGTGAAACATTGTCCTCAGTTAATGACAAAAGTGCAACTTACAGTAACGAAGGAAGTAAGAACGACTACGTGGTAAGCTTTTTTTTTTAAATACTGTAGCGCTTTTCATTTTTCACGACATGATCAGTACTAATTCATTTCAAATTTTCTACTTTCTTTGATTAAACAATTCACTTGTGATTCTAAATAGACCAAACTGACTTTTCAATTACTCATCAATATCCTCAACGACTGTGTATCAGTGGCGGCTCGTGACTGTCTGATGTGGTGAGGCGATGATAGAAATTTGACAATAATAGTAATATTACCTGGTCTTACTAGTTAGTAATGATAGAAGTCTTGCCTGAATACCGGTCATTCCCGGGTCAGTGGTAGGTCCTAATAATAATAATAATAATAACACCCATAACACATTGAATCAACAATGTTTTTACAAGTCAAAATTTTGTTGAAAGTAGCACTTTCTTGGAGGGATTCGGTAATAGTTGTTGTGTCCTTTTCTAAACGTTTTAAACCCATGAAATTTTTAATGTGTACTTTGGAACTTTCATGTAACTTTCCACTTCGGATGAAATTCTTTAAATCGTTATATCCCCGGATGTTGTGTAAATATTACGGCAGAGCCATTATTTATATGTTTCGTAGGTACCAAGTTGATTTAAAAGACTTACTTACTTAAGTACTGACGATCTGTCGCTTATCAATGGAAGTTAAATGAATTAACGGTTTTGATTGCTCGATAGGTATTTAGCAAAATTTGCCGACGTTCTAGCTCGGTTCGCCGTGAAAACGGCGTTTCAAGAAGCAACATGACGATATCGTACTCGGGATTCATTTTTCACTCACCTGTACCTATGAAAGAGACAATAACACAAAACACCAACACGTGGGTTTTTATTCACGTTCATGCTAATTACCCAAGCACCCCGCAACCCTACCGTTGTGTATAATAAATGGAAAAATGGTTTAATGAGTACGCCGAAATTGGCCGAGAAGCACCGAAGACATCGCCTCAGTTCCGAGCGAACGCATGTATAGGAGTATAGGAGCTGAGCCATGAAAATCCGTGTCTATGATTGGGCTTCGCTGGTTCAAGTGAATCGACGTTCTGGCCGCTTCAGTTAAAGAACTAGGGGCATAAATCGTACGGTATTCAACGGAAAATGTCAGCAGGAAGCGTAAAAAATAAAAAATCATGTACAGATTTGCTATTTCAACATATTTTTGTAACTAAAAATGCATTGAAAGCTCTTTTTTAATTATAAATTAAGTCAATATGTTCTTAAGATATATGCTGTGAGGCGCCGCCTCACTTGCCTCATCTGACGAGCCGCCACTGCTGTGTATGTGAAAATGATGAGAACTCTGAAAGATTTGTAGTTTCGGTAACTAAAGTATGAACCCTTTCTATTTTTGTAAAACTTTAAAATGCTTGCAAAATAATATAATTAGATTCATGATCACAGACAACAAGATGTGAATACTGAATAAGCCTTCAGATAGTGTTTTTATTTGACACAGTAGCTACATGTGTGTAATCGAAAAAATAAATAAATTATTATAAATTGTATAGTTTTGCCTTAAAACTATAATATTATAACCAAGAAGATTTTTCAAAACGCCATCACTTTTTAAATTTGTTTTTTTCTTAAATTTTATATCATTAAGTCTTTAATGAAATAAGAATTTTTATCAGAATAGGTTACCCCTAATCTTACAACTGTGTGAAAAATTCATTTTTTTCCGAGTGCAGCTTAGGTAATGAAATTCGAAGTAAACTGTTAGGGTATAAAAAATCGTTTCTGAACAATACTCTCCGATTGCTATATCCAAACTTATTTTTTATTAATTTTTCTATTGCATACTTTTGAAGTGATTTGTTTGTTCATTTAACATAAATATCTGTCGTTGAAAGTTTTAAAATGTTGTAATGAAATGATTTTTTGTAACTTTGTAAAGTATGTCTACAGTAAATCATTGACAGCAAACAACGGGGAAATATCATTTACTTATGCACAACAGTGTGAATGAATAAACACATGCGTTTTTCGCAAGCAACGCCAACTCGATGACTTTTTCAATTGAACATCCATTACTACAGAACAATAGTGTCACTACCAAGAACGTGTGTATGAATAATATCTATTAAAAAGTTGGTTTTGAATTCGAAAATTATATAAAAAAATTGGTCCAAAGAGTTTAGACAGTACTTCCCTCGCTGTCGGAAATGTGACGACTGAATGCCTATTATGTTTTTTTTTCGCAGTAGATTTCAAAGCATTCGGTTTTGTAGTTCCTGAGTAAATGAATAAAATAAATTTAGGAATTTCTTATTTTTTTGAGTCACCCGCTATATGCAAATTCAAAAAATATGAATGGGATGATAAATTACAAGTACACACTCATCATATTTTGTACATTCTAAATTGGATTTATCCGGCAAACTTTTGAACTGACGTCATCAGTTTTTTGGAGAAGATAATCAAATATATTTTGACTAAAAATTTATTATGCTCTTTATAACCTTAAAACATCTGCAAAATTTCAAAACATTCCGTTCTGTAGTTCCTGATTAAATCAATAAAACACATTTATACGCATTCATTAGTTTCTTTGGGTCACCCTGTATATGCAAATCGAAAAAATATGAACGGAATGATAAATCACAAGAAGAGACTCATCATATTTTGTACAGTTTAGATAGGATTTATTCCGCAAAGTTTCGAGCTGACGTCATCAATTTTTTGGAGATGATAAGCAAATATATTTTGACCAAACATTTGTTATGCTTTTTATAACCTTAAAACATCTGGAAGATTTCAAAGCATTCGGTTTTGTAGTTCCTGATTAACTCAATAAAATAAATTCACGCATTCATTAATTTTTTGAGTCACCCTGTATATGCAAATAGAAAAAATTTGAATGGAATGATAAATCACAAGAAGAGACTCGCCATATTTTGTACATTTTAGATAGGATTTATTCAGCAAAATTTTGTGGTGGCGTCATACATTGTTTAGGGGGGACGACCAAATAGATTTTGATCAAAAATTTACCATGCTTATGATAATGTCAAAACATCTTCAAGATTGCAAAGCATTCGGCTTTGTAGTTCCTGAGTAAACCAGTAAAATAAATTTACGCATTCATTAATCTTTTTGAGTCACCCTGTATATGCAAATCCAAAAAATATGAATAGAGTGATAAATCACAAGTACAGACTCATCATATTTTGTACAGTTTAGATACGATTTATTCCGCAAAGTTTCGAGCTGACGTCATCAATTTTTTGGAGGGGATAAGCAAATATATTTTGACTAAAGATTTATGATACTCTTTAGAAACCAGCAAAAAATAAAATAACTAAAAATTAAAAAAATGTTCAAAAATCGGAAAAAAACGAACTAAAACCGAAAAATTATAACAATAAAACATCGAAAAGTTTAAGACTTTGGGAAATAGAAAATTGAAAAATTGTAAAAAAAATAGAGAGAGGAAAAAACGCAAAATTGAAGGAAACATTAAAATGTCTAAAAAACTGAAAAATTGAAGAATGGAAAATCTAAAATTTGAGGAACTGAAAAATTAAATAATCGAAAAATTGAAAAGTTGAGACACCGAGAAAATTAATAATCAAAAATGAAAAACTTAAAAATTTTAAAACTGCAAGATCGAAAAAGTAAAAAATTTAACAATTTAACACATTTCTAAAAAATCGCAAGATTGAAGAAACGAAAAATTGAAACATCAAAACTTAAAAATCAAACTAAGTACTAAAAATCGGAATACTAAACATAAAACATTAATTTATTTTGTTTAGTTTGATTTATGTAATGAACACTTTCGTAAATAAATGGTTGTTATTTAAAAATCTAAAAATTTAAATCGAGAGACTGAAAAATTAAAAATCGAAAACTAAAAGTTGAAAAATTCCAAAATTCCAAACCACGAAAAATTAAAAAATACTACAAAAATCGGAAAAAATAGGAACATTGAAAAATTAAACTGCAAAACTTAGAAATTAAAAAATCCGAAAGGAAAATCAGAAAGAAAAACCCCAAGATTGCAAAACACCAAACAAATAAAATCACTAATCACGAATCACTGATCATTGATCGTGATTTCGTTATTTCTTGGTTTCGTGATTTCGTGATTCGTGATTAGTGATTCGTGATTCGTGATTAGTGATCAGTGATTCGTGATTAGTGATTAGTGATTCGTGATTCGTGATTTTTTTTTCAATTTATTAAGTTTTAAAGTTTAAATGTTTCAGTTTTGAACTTTTCCATTTTGGGTTGTCTTGATTTTTAAATGTTTCAATTTTTTAATTTAGATTTCTCTTTTTTTCGATTTTTCAATTTTTAGATTTTTCATTTTTCGGCATTTCAATTTTAGAATTTTTCAATTTTCCGATTTTTCGGTTTTTCTTCTACAATTCTTCGATTTTTAAAATTTTACATTTTCGATGTTTCAGTTGTTTTTCGATTTTGAGTTTTTTCGATTTTTTGATTTTACAATTTTTTGATATCTGATTTTTTTGGGATTTTTTAATTTTTCGGTATTTATATTTTTCGATTTTTCAGTTTTTGATTTTTCAATTTTTCGTTCTCGATTTTTCAGTTTTTCAATTTATTCTTTTTACTTCCCGAGCGTAAGCAAAGGAAGTATTGTAATCGAGTCCGTCGGCCGACTCTCTACTTTTACGTTTTCTCGATCTTTCATGACACCTAGAAGATGAAGAAATAGGTCTCCCATTTCCGTCTATCGGTCCGTCTGTCTGCCGTCCCGGATTTTTATTAGACAGATAATCTCCGAAAGTACTGGACCGATTGTTGTGAAATTTTGTACTTAAATTAGCAATATCATGTAGATCGTAAAACGCTAACCAAAATTTGTATAAAATAACATAGTCCTACATCTGTAGTTTACGACTCCGAATTGAGTTTTTTAGTGAGTGAGTGAGTGAGTAAGTGAGTGAGTGAGTGAGTGAGTGAGTGAGTGAGTGAGTGAGTGAGTGAGTGAGTGAGTGAGTGAGTGAGTGAGTGAGTGAGTGAGTGAGTGAGTGAGTGAGT